TATTGTCTAGAAAACTCTAACTAATCAGCTGTGGGGGTTTTTCTGAGTTGCACTGATCAGCGCATCAGTTTTTAGTGCTGCTCAGAAGCACCGAGCCCATCGTAGTTCCTCCTTTCTCCCAACAGAAGGTCTACGGGGACATGGCTTTCACACACAGAAGTTCTTTAGCCCCAAAAAGTTCCTGCAGCTTCCTATTTACAGACTGCATGCTGTTTTAGTCCCTGTAACTTCACACCTTTTTTTTTTTTCCTTTTGAAAGCTGCACTTAATAACTTAAAGTAGCAGGAGCTGTTTTTGGCCTCACCGCTGCTCACGATTAGTCTGCTGTCATGAAGCCCGTCTTTGTGTGCAGTTTATTCAAGGTCCTGTTGTCCTTCGCCTACTTTACTAGTCCTGTGTTGTGCAACTGTGTGGTCATTTGTGTCGGCACCAATTAACCGGGTCAAACCGCCGTGCAGGTCCGACTAGGTGGCCAAATTTAATGGCTCATTCCCACCAAGTAAATATGCGTCATCAAAAGATCTTTGCATCGGTTGATTTTTATAAAAGACGATCCACCGCTGCTGCTGCTCTGTGTCTTCGGCGGACGTATGTCATTCTAGCAGGTAATGAGTGTGTTTACATCGCGGCTTTGCGACGAGGCTTTTGTGTGCAAATGTCAACGCGCCGGCGCGAACGCCCCACATCCCCGTCAATTTTCAGCATTTGCGGCAATTTCTGAAGTAATGGCGGGTAATGATCAGCGCGGCGATCTGAATAAGCCGCCACGGTGAGGAGTGCTGCTCTAAATTCAGCGCTTGTTCAACAGGAGCTTTGCATTTTTTCCCCCCTTCACACTGTTGATATAATAGGTGGGAGGAATGAGGGCACATCATGAGCGGTGCAGCATGCCCTGAGCTGTGTGCTAACTCGATGTCAGAGCCACAGTGAGTAATGATGGCAGCCAGGAGACTGGCACAGAAGCAGGGACAGGCCTTATCAGGTTTATGCTGCCGATGATAAAATGTTATATTCAGTTTCAGATTCCAGTGGCAGAGAGAGAGATGGTATCTAAAAACTCACCTCGGCACTGCAGGCAGGCGACGGAGACGACAGGGTGGCGTGGATCACACACACACACACACACACACACACACACACACTTTCTTGACGACACACCTTCAGATTTCTTACGAGTACTAACTTCGCTTCGTTTTGGAATTAATTAGGTGCCTGAGTTTCATCAGTTAATTATCATGATCGGGTCGAGGCAATAATTAAGTTTTCCTCACAGCAGCGTGGCAGTTCGATGACAGCGCAGGTTCTGTCCCACATAAACAAACCTGGATACCTGGTAAAGAAAACCACCATATTAACTAACTAAACCGCTACAACAAAGTCAGGCTCCTGTTTTAGAAGACAAACTTCACAACGTAGATCTTTCTTATTATCCTAAAACTAATTCATTTTGCTAACAAGCGTGGTGCGTGTGACTGAACCCTAATGAATGTGATTCATTTCAGAGCTCCGTCATTGTCGAGAAATTACTAAAAATACCAACTAGAGTAGAAAAACGTGTATTAATCCACCTCCGAAAATAGTCTCCAACCAATCATTTTGTACGATTGCCGTTTCTCTTTTAAACGTGAAAAAAATATATTTTAAAGGAAGTCAGAAGATGTTGTAGGTTCACAAACAACAAAAACAACGTTCTGTTAAAGCTGCTTCTTTGTTTGTGTTTTGATGTGGGCGTGGCTTCGATGATGTCACCAACCGCTCTGCACCAATCAGGACAGAGCTGCCACCCAGCCAATCTGTTAAACTGTACACATATTTAACTCCAATTCTGTTTATTGACATATGTTCAATTTTACAGACGAATATTTTTTAATTATTCCATAAAAGGCAGGTGTGGGTGTGGCTTCGCTCAGGAACGATGATGTCACCAACCACTGTGCACCAATCAGGAAAGAGCTGCCACCCAGCCTATCTGTTCAATTCTACAGATACTTAACGACAAATTCAGCTTTGATTCTTGCTTATTTATTGTTCAATTTCATAGACAAATATTTTCTAGCTATTCCATAAAAGGCAGGTGTGGGTGTGGCTTCGTTCGGGAACGATGATGTCACCAACGTCTGTGCACCAATCAGGGCAGAGCTGCCACTCTACAGATATTTAATTACAAATTCAGCTTTGATTCTCGCTTGTTTATTTCTATATAGATTAAATTTTTTTTTAACTATTTCATACATGGCGTCCTCACGTCTGTTTCTGCTTCCCGTTGGGTTGTTTTCTGCACATTTCTCATATTTGTAAAAGCACTTTGTAGCCCGACTACGAAGCCCACCGTGTTTATAAAGCTGTATTATTCTCAACATGCAGCACAGACATTCAGAAAAAGATTTTTAAAAAAGATACACTGCAAGTTATGAATAATTATGGCGCCCTGTGTGTGTGTGTGTGTGTGTGTGTGTGGGCGGGTACGTACCGGAGAGCACAAACAATGTTCTGTAATAAACCGGAGAAACACTCACTGAGGAAAATAAGGCCGCATTTTTAAGAATTATCTGTCAAATCAGCTGCATAATTTTGTAATAAAAATAAATACGTATCGCCTAATTATTACAAAGCCACGACAATAATAATTTAGCAACGCAAAAGCTGCGAAAAAACCTAAAAGTAGCCTCCCTGTGTGCTGTGGAGACTATCAGCACCGCCATCGTTAGGGCGCAGCGCTCGTTATTGATACAGTATTGTGTCCTCACGTCGAGGAAAGATTTTCTATTCACAGAGTCGTCTTCGTCTTCCGACGGCCGCCGTGATGGAATACGGCTGCAATCTACGGCTTCAATATAACATATATAAAGACGATATAATAAATCATTATGGAGAAGGGGGATGGCTCAGCCGCTCTCCAAACACCGCTGTCCTGTGAACAGCCCTTCTTATTGTCTCTAAATTCAATAGTCCCCCCCCTCGCCCACCCCGTGTGCTTCTTTTTATTACTTGTCTCATTTATTGCGGTGCAGTGTCTGTTCATATCGGCCTTTGTAAATGAAGTTTTTGCAACAAAGGTTATTGAAATAAGACCACGGGATCCTGGAGGATAAGTGACGCCGGAGAGAGTTAATTGGCTTTTTGAATGTTGGATCGGAGTGTAACCTGCTCTGGAGCAAGTTACCATGGCGATCTACCTGCGCTGCACACCTTTGTGAGGAGAAGAAGCCTGATCCGGCCTTCTAATCGGGCTCAGAGTCGGTTTTTAATAGTCGTGTGTTTGTCCACAGCGCTCCCTCCTCTCCCGCTTCAACATTTCATTAAAAATTCAAAGTAAAGTTTGAAGTAATTTCCAACCTGCGAGGTCCGTGTCATTTGTCGAGAAAACAAAACAGCTTACTCCACTCAAATCTGGATTCTTGACCCTCGAGGCGTCATTAAATTTTCATTTAATCAAATTTAATTACCTCTTCAGGTCGACCCAGAGCAGGGGTACCGGTGAGCAGGACGGCCCGCTTGGCGCTCTTGATCAGAGGAACGAGTATCTTCGTCCGCGCGGCGTTTCTGGATTTGAGGTAGTGCGACTCGTCCACGACCACCACCGCAAACCGCTGCCTGCTCAGGGCCTCCACCAGGGGGCGCGCGTCTGTGGTGAGCAGGCCGTAGCCCAACACCGTCACCTTGCTGCCCCTGATGCCCCTGGAAGGGTAAAAGGCAAGAACACATGCATGAACATTCACAACAAGAGGTATCGCTGGTTAACTAGACAGCAACGAGCTTTATGAGCTGGAATTATTCTGTTATGACCATTTAGTCGGGCTGAAACTAACAGGTACGTTCATTAACTCTGCACATCAGGTCCCCTGAGTCATCAAGTCAGGTTTCTTTTGTTCAGAAAAAAAAAATGAAATGTTGTCCGTAATAATTTCCCAGAGGCCCGACAATGCAAATACATCCAGTTTATAATAATTAGAGGACAAGAAAAATCAGCAAATATTCTTATTTATGCACCTGAAAGCGTTTTTTAGCTCAAGAAAAAAATAAATGATTAATTCTTAAAATTACTGCTGACATTTCTGAATGACTACGCCGTTGTTTTATTGGTGGAATAATTTGTAAAAAAACTTGATCTGTTTCACATCCTTCCAGATACCAGTTGTTTTTGTTAGATGTGATTATGTTCAAAAGCTGGTTACGGTTAATCTGGTGAGGATACGTGTTTAATAGTCACATTCAACGACAGGGCTGGACATTTCCTAATGTTTTAGTCAAGACCGAAATCCAACAGCGTTACTCCATCTTTCAGCTCGACTGAGGCGAAGAGCTTTTTGGTCAAAGCTAATTCAAGCCCAGGATTCTGTTCAGTTCAATACAACTTTATGTATGTGTGAAGGCGATTAGAGTCTGGATCTAAGACAGGAAACACAGAGAAAATATATACAGATAAATAAAGGATCCACCTTTTTGACATCTTACAGATATGGAAAATTAATTAAAACACTAGAAAACAAAGCTAAAAACCAAATTCTAGTGGCTGCAATCCAACTAGTTAAAGCTAATTTGCCAATTTATGCCCATGTTTGCTGCAACTCTACGATTTAGATGCCCCACAATCTTAGAAATAGTTAAATCTTATAGTAAAATATAGTTATATCTTACGCCATAATGGAGGAAATAAAGGAAGGATGCTTGAAGTAGTCCTGCTACATGCTAACTAGCCTAATTAGCGGTGTGTCTGTGCAGCCTCTGACTCTGCTGGAATTCACACGATCAGATGATGCAAACTATATTTAATTAAAGACGAGTTTACTAAATGGACAAAAGAGCTGATCATATACGAAGCTACTGTACTTTTGTTTTTCCTTAGAGGGCAACAGGAGAATTAGGTTTCATATAAAGGTCTATGATGTTCAGTTGTATGAAAGACTTTAAATTAAGGTTTTGTCCATCATAGACATCATGTCTGCCCCTCAACCCCACGTCCTCTGGTTCCTCGCATCGACGTCATTTTAGAACGAGGATTGCAAACATAGACTTTGATTGTTTTTGGTATAAAGTCTGAGCGTTCTGTAGTGTTTAACACTCAAACAGGAGGAAGCAGTGCATTCATAGGGGACTATTTTCAGCAGCGGATTAATACACAGTCTGTGCTCTGGGTTTGTTTCTCTATTTGGGATGAATCAAAACCAACTCCAGCGTCCAAGTCTTTTGTAGTTTTGTAATAAAATGCAGCTTTATGGCACCAGAAGAGGAACACGGACGTCCCGTTATTGTCGGTTTTCATGGAACTAGCGGCTCTTAAAGGCGTCACCTTTAACTCTGACCAACGAGTGTCAACAGTCAGGACTAAACAGAGACTCAGCACCTGTTCACATGTTTATTGACTTGGCAACTGAACCCTCGAGGTAAAGCAAAGCAGACTATTTAAAAAATCGTGTGTGGACTTAACTAAACGTCGCACAGAGGCGCCGTGCCAAACTTTTCTCCTCCTCCTCCTTCTTCTCCGGCGCCGACAAGAAAAAAACCCATTCCCGGACTATATTGCAATTTCTATATTTTTCAGCTGCGCGCGGCTCAAACGCAAACACAGATCGACAAACAAACACAGAGGCGACGTTCAGCTGCGCGAAACCCAATAAGGATCTGTGAGAAATCAAAAGCACTTCCAGCATCTGTCGGGCTTTAATTCCGCTGCCTTCCACCGGCGCCGCAACACACACACACACTCCCAGGCTGGAACGAACCTAAGGTGCCGTTCATGTTCTACAAAAGCACACAGCGAGTCAAAATACTGGTGCTGCATAATTTCTTCTTGCCTCCCCGTTCAGTCATTAACACATCCAGTTCAAGGACACGTTTTCCCCAGAAGGCTTTCACAACCTCTTTGCACCTCGTCTGTGATGTGACGTGAGCTTCCCTCCTCCTCCTCCTCTTCCTCCTCCAAGTCACAAATAGAGAAAGTTTGTTTCATTCAGAGATATATATATATATAATGAAAAAAAAAAGTGGGGAAAAGTTGAGGAGATAATATAAGTGGCTGTTTCCTAACATGAGTCCAGGATGCAGGAATGCACCGCAAACCTGACTCAGTGTACACAGCCGCGGAAACGATTCCTCCAAGACGGCAAAAAAAAGAAAAACTGAAAATTCACCTCTTGTTCAATATTGCAGACGTCGCCTTGACATGATTTGTCTGTCAGCGCTGTCAAACGTCGGCCCCTGCTGGCTCCTGACACCCAGGGACACTTTGAGATTAATTTATCAGGACCAACTTTGCTGTCTGTCACCACTCTCCTCCGTTTCACAACTACATGTTTTTATTACATCTCTTTAAGGTAAAATTACCGCCGTTTGCACGAGCAGGAGGAGGCTGGAGGCAACTTCTCCCTAAGTTCTAATCATTTTAAATGCGTTTAAGACGTCCTGTATGTGCTTCTGCTTGTGCACATGTGTCCTTATCTGTGGCGCAACATGGCGAGTTTAGCTTTGAATGGATTAAACCTGGAACAATTAGTTGCTTAAAGGTGCAGTCTGTCATTCTGGAGGAAGAACATTCAGCTAATTAGCACGTGTCATGTGAGTCACTTTCATTTTTGTATTTTTTCACAAACTCAGCTGTGAACGAAGGCCAGATTTAGCTTTCGGCGGACACATTTAGCAGCAGAAATGCATCGTTTCAGATTGTTCCTTGGCCAGAACAAGCAACCTAAAGGAGAATGTGCTTTCTAGACAAAGTGATTAATTGCTTACTGAATTTAACTATCATGAGTCGGAGCAGCAGAATCGATATGAAACCCTGTTTGTCTAAAAATAAATTGTAATTTTTGCCTTTTCTTTAAGTGTCCGAGTGACTACGGTGTTATTAGTTGGGCTGCTGACAAAATGACCTTTAACTAAAAGTACTTTTTTTTTATCATAAACAGCAAGCAGGATGAAATTCTGCATATTTTCTTGGAAGTGCAGCTTTAATAAGCTGTCAGGCGTTATCAGTTTGCTAATATTAGCGTTTCATTAAGAGAGCGGCCGGCCGGTGTCGAGCACAACTGATGTGAAGACTAAAACTGAGTCTGCAGATTGCATATTTATTGTCTGTTTGAAAGACATAATTAAACCGTATCATAAAAGGACGTTTTTGTGGTGATGGACTTCATCTGTCCAGCTGCAAACAGGAGACAGGAGGCGGTGGAGACCAAAACCGGAGCTAAAAGACGAGGAAGTATTTTTTAAATCAGTGCTAATGTTGCTGCTAAGTGTGTTTGCTGCTTAATTATGCTGCTTAATAAAACAGTCAATGCAGCTTTAAAAGACAAAAAAAGCTCAAACTGAAGGGCAGACAGCAGCTGGTTATTGTACATGCATGAGGCGGAGGTGTGGAGGGACGAAGGTGAAGGTGTAGCGGGGGTGACCTACATGGTGTCGCTCTTGCTCTCCACCAAATTGATGTCTCCGGGCTGCAGCTCGGGGATCCACCTCTCCAGCTCCTCGATCCAGGGGTATTTGAGGGACGAGGGCACCACCACCAGGAGAGGCCACTCCTGCCTGAAGGCGTACGCCACCGCGATGGCCTGCACCGTCTTCCCGAGACCCATCTGGGCCGAGCAAATCAACACATGGCGAAGGGAGAGGAAAAACAAGTCAATCGCGCACAGGCTCCGCGGCAAATTGCATATGACGGCCGAGCTGATGTGAGGCCCAAGAGTAATAAGGTCTCAGAATGATTCTAGTGTCAAAACCGATTAGGCACGTGGGAGTGCAGCACGGGGCTGACAAATTAATTTGGAAGGCATGCAGCGAAGTCTCAGGTTCTGTTTTTTTTTTTTTTTTGTGGAAAATAGATTTCCTGAGCCGGCGTCGTGTGCGCTTACCTCATCGGCGATCATACATCTGTAAAACAAAAGAAAACAGAGAAATCCTGATCAGTTGGGTTTGGCTGACCAGCGGCCGGTGGTTGTGGTTACAGAGGCAGGCTGTTTACATGTAAAGACAACGGCTCCTGCAGCATCAGGGCTTCACTCAGGGGAACCCGGCTGCATCTATTAAAGAGGCCTCACACCACAAACCCTGTCATAACCCGGCTTCTTCTCAGCACCACAACAAACTCAGCTGCTCTCGGACATCCCACAAATGTGTCACGAGCAATCTAAGTCTGCGCCGCTCCTCGTTTGAGCTGTTCAATATTTATCACGCTGCTGTTCCTATTGAGCATTTCTGCAGAGTAGCTTGTGTTGTGTGGGTTTATCCAGAACTTGCCGGATGATGCAGGCGCTACGTCTAATCAGTTTGAATAATTATATTTTCGGTTTAAAAATCAGATCTTGTGTGCTTTTAATTAGGGCTGTTTATGCACCTCAAAGAGACGATGATGCACCAAACTCTGGCAGATACGAGCTATTAAGATTTAACCTGAATTTAGTGTTCATTTAGTAGTTCACACGAGCCGCTGCTCCGCTCCTTGTCTGAGAGGCAAATTTAATTAAGGTCAGCTCTTTGAGAAGGAGTTGAGCATTTTTTGGTTTGCACCGAGCTAAGTGGGCACAGACAGAGGAGCCAAACGGGAAAAACATCAGCGTGGTCACATCGCAGCCTCCATAAACAGATTTTACTCTTTAAAAAAAGGAAGGAAATCTCATTTTAAAGCCCTCCACGTGGTTATAATGAGAGAAAAATGAGCACAAGGTAGCAACGAGGAAAAATGGAAATCCACGCGCGGTATTGTTTTCACACTCTCATAACGCCGAAGCCGTCGGCCTGATGCGTGGTGATACGGCGGCGTTATTGCGAACAAGAGCCGCGACAAATAATCAGTTAATTCAATTAGTCCGTCTGCTGAAAACTAATTAGTTTTGATAATGTATTAATCATTTCCCGTGCTTTAAACTGAACATCTTGTGTACTGGCTGGAGATCCTGACATTTAACCAGCAACTTATAAAAAAGAATCAATACATGAATTAGGAATAATCAGTAGCAGCAGATTATCAGTGAGCGCTGCACGACGATGGAGGATGCTTGTTCCTGCCAGTTGGGCCTTTTCAAGAGAGTAAAACTAGGCTGGACCTGAGCAGCTCACCTATTGTGCATGTCTCTGATATGTTTTAGCAGCAGTCCCCCCCCCCCCGACTCGTCCAGGAACAATGCAAGCGCGACACGCTCCTCAGCCCAAGTCGTCCCCTGTGGAAAAAGTGCCGCTAGATCAACCCCTGGTTCCCTCTGCCCAGTGGGTACGGGCCCATTGTCGTGACCTTGCTTATTCATAAACGCTTCCAACATCATGTCAGAGCAAACAGTGCAACGGAGCAGCTCTGAATACCTCAGACACAGCCTCTCATTATTCTTCCTCCTCCTCCTCCTCCTCTTCCTCCCCCCATCTCCGCCCCATTTCTCTCTTTCAGCTGAGGAACATGATTAATGTGCACCTTGCCACTGGTGGTTTTTCTAATTGCCAGCACACCGGCCCAGTCAGCGCAATACGCACACACACACACACACACACACACACACACACACCGGGCCGGCATGTGTGTGGAAAAATGCACACAAAAGACATAAACGCACACATGCATGTAAAAGCAGACGCACACATGCATGTGCCGGCGCGTACACCCGCCCACGCACACACCCACACACACACACACACACACACACACTGCAGAGGGAGTGCGGCTGGGGCAGGTGCTTGCCATTTCTCAACACATTAATCATCCTCCTTTAAATAACCTGAGTGTCGTCTTGACGGTTTGAGACTGCGAGCATGCTGCAGTGCTGTTGCCTGACGACGGCACGCTCCCCGTCGCAGCATCTTTCTAATGTTATCTCCGAAACCCACAAGCCCCAAAGTGTCAGGAAATGGGCTCCGCCGCCTCCCAGGCTGGCTGCGATGATTTGATGGCTTTGACCTCTGCGCGCTGATGTGCTGTGTGGCCCCCGCGTCTAACCCCAATCTTCCAGCCCCCGTTAAGGCTCTCTCCGCCGAGGACCGGACCCGCGGCGCTCCGCGGTCGGCGGAGGAAAGCCGCTCAGAGGCCGGACGGCTGGACAAAAAGGCCGACTCGATGGGCGCCCGCCATCGGAGCCACTTTGATCCCACGCGGGTTCAGAGGGCAGCTTCGCTCCGTATTGTGAATTAAGTTAAAATCAAAACAGAGCAGCCTTTACTGGAAAATGGCTCAACAGCGTTCAGGACCTTAGAAAGAAAAGCTTACACCGCAGTTAAACGGTGCAAACATCAACTTATGGGGCTTTTTTGTGCACATCCAGACCTGTCAGAAAGCTTTCTGCTCGTTTCTTTTCCAATGACATCAACAAAAAAAAGAGCCTTTTGCTAAACAGCTCAGCTCTTGTTTCTGATTGTATTTCGTCCATAACTTGAAGCCTCTGTTTCCCCTCGGTGATTTATTTATTCTATATTTTAGTGGCGTTTCACCTCATCTTGACATTTTCATGATACGTTTTTTTGTATTATGTTTTCAACCACATCCAAAAGCAGTCGCTCGCATTAAAACAGCAGTGACCTGTTAAATATGCAGTTATGCAGCAGCTAATGGTCGCTGGTTGACATGGAAAGATGGAAAGGACGGGAAAAAAAAAAGGCTGCGTCACTTTGAGGAGAAAGAGTAATAATCATAATTTAAGAACAAAAACACACGCTTACAGGTTTTGGTGCCGCTTCATGCGCTACGACCAGTCGGGCTGATTTTCGCTAAAGTTAGCAATTTTAGCTAAAAAATATCGTATAACTGACATGACAGTCATTTGCTCACTTTATAATATTCTTGTGCTTTTGCTACTGCAAGGACTAGATTTTAGCTTTTCACATATGTGACTGGGCTGCAGGTGGATCGGTGGTTAGCACCGTTGCCTCGCAGCTAGAAGGTTGCCGGTTCACATCCCGGTGAGGACACCCGGGATCTTTCTGCGTGGAGTCTCCATGTTCTCTCCAGGTTCTCTGGCTTCCTCCAAAAACATGCTGAGGTTAATTGGTGATTCTAAATTGTCCGTAGGTGTGAATGTGAGTGTGCTTGGTTGTCTGTCTCTAAGTGTAGCCCTGTGATAGACTGGTTACCTGTCCAGGTGAACCTGCCTTCACCCTGAGTCAGCTGGAATAGGCTCCAGCCCCCCATGACCCTACTGAGGATAAACGGTGTATAGATGATGGATGGATGGAGTCATGTGCGCATTGTAATGCACGCTAAAGCAAACTAACGCATGTGCGTCCCTCCCTTTGAAACTGTTGGTCCTTCTTGCGCTTAGAACAAACCAAGAGTTTCCTCTCTCACTGCTTTAGGAAAGTACAGTCCGACGTGTTCAGCTAGTGAGCTACAGTTCCCAAGATTATGTATTTTATGACAACAAAGGAAGTCTTCGCATGTCTATTTCATGAAACTGTAGACGAGGAATGAGCATTAGCCAAAGTTTTCAAGTAGAGTCTATTTGAAATTTCTGAAAATCTATCCACACATGGATCCACTCTGGTCTGACAGATTGTGGAAACAGACACACACAGAGCGGAGTAACGAGCAACAGGTGTAATAAAGATAATGTCAGTGGTGTTGACAACAATCTGCTGTGGACACTGACGGTGCTAGTGGGGGGGATAGTGGTTCTGGCTCTCATGTGTCCAACGTTATTGGTCGCAAACTAAAGGATGGTATTAATTCAACTTTTAATTTCTCAGATTAAGTTTTATTTCTTCCTTTGTAAGTCACATTTAAAAACCTGTGCATGCAGGACTCCATTTAAATTCAACCTATTTCACCTAAATAAACCTTTTAGAACATTTTTAAATCAAGCAACACTTCTTATTTCTTACAGCTTCGTAATCGTCAGTCTCACGACACACAGTTCACATGCGAGTCTGTCTGTAGGTGTGACGCTCACGTTAGAATATTTCTCTATGTTTAGCCACGATCCCTGTTCTCTCGTGTCTATTACAGCAGATAAAGATGCACAAATTAAAATGTAAGATGTATTTGGCCGTAATGACGTTCTGAACACTCGTGTGTCTTCGAGTGATTAAGTGAGCATATGTTTTAACGTTAAGTGTCTCTCCACCAAATCATTCTTCCCTCTAAAACACCAAACAGACGCAGCAGGCCGTAGCCTTTATTTATGATGTGTAGCCTCCGCACGTTGTTTCTATAAACTCTCTCCTTTACATGGCGGATGGATGCTGTCCAAACAATGGAAATTTGCCTATTAAGGCCACGGGTTACAAATGGAGAGTGAAATTTTTCATGCTGCTTAATAGAACGCGTCTCCTGCTGTCTTTACGACACGAAAAACATCCCATTATAATTAAAAGAAAACCGAACAACTTCCACGCCTTATTAGGAGTAAATGGAATTTTGAGCACCTTGGGAAGTAAATGCATTAAATGAGGCACCTTAAAAACGTACAACAGACATTTTTGTATTCATAAGGCGATGACAGGACCCAGTGCATCATCTTAGCTTACAGACGACAAGGTAAACGTCCCATATGGTAGAATCCCATCGTGGGTTTTGTCAAACCTGGACTCTTTACAAGCCAGTAGAACCAACTAACTGCCCGCTGCTTCCCATTCAGAAACATCAGTCCACCAAGCTTCTGCTAACTGTCTCAGCCACAAGCAAATCTCACCAAATGTTCTGCAAGAGTGAACGCAAGCATCCTCATGCATTCCCAGCATCTGAAGAACTGAACCCTGATTCTGATTTAGTTCTGATTTTCAATTTGGTGTGGTCAGATTTTAAACCTGCCTACACAGGCTAACAATCTCAATTCGTTATGAGGATGATTTCAGTTTGGTCTACATGAAATCAAAATTTTAATTCTACCTCGGCAGATTTAAAAATGTGCCCAGGCAGGATTATAATCTCATTATGATATTAGAAGGATTTTAATTTG